GATTGCAGCAGAGTAATTTAAGGAAGGAAATATAATTATACTTTAATGTTGAAAATGCAAATAAAATAATAAAACATGTATAAGTTTTTCATATATTATATAAAAAACAAAACAAAAAATCTTGACTGTGTGCTTATGATGTGGCTTTATTTTAGGGCAATAATGTCATTTACCTCCCCCAAGAATATGGATTGACGTGGGAGTCCCCTCTGTATGCTGTGATTACCATTAATGAATAAAGAAACTGCTTTGGGCCTATAGGAGAGCTATGGGGAACAGAGCTAGGCAGGGAAAACTAAATGGAATGCTGGGAGAAAGAATGGTGGAGTCAGAGAGAAGCTATGGAGCCGCCACAAGAGTCAGACATGTTGAAACTTTGCCAGTAAGCCACTGCCACGTGTTAATATACAGATTAATAGAAATGGGTTAAATCAAGATGTGAGAGTTAGCTAATAAGAATCTAGAGCTAATGGGGCTAGAAAGATGGCTCAGTGGTTAAGAGCATTGCCTGCTCTTCCAAAGGTCCTGAGTTCAATTCCTGGCAACCACATGGTGGCTTACAACCATCTGTAATGAGGTCTGGTGCCCTCTTCTGGCCTGCAGACATACACATAGACAGACTACTGTATACATAATAAATAAATATTAAAAAAAAAAGAATCTAGAGCTAATAGGCCAAGCAGTGATTTAATTAATATAGTTTCTGTGTGATTATTTCAGATCTAAGCTAGCTGGGAGGCCAGGAACCAACAAGCAGCCTTCTTCTACAATTTGGTGTACCAATGTGGTGGACTAAATCCATGTAAAACCTTAAAAGGCTTGAAAAGGAACTCTAGAAACAGATAAACAAAGTTTAGCCTCGTTTCTTTTTCACCTGGCAGCATGCTGCAGCTCCCTGAAGGGAAGTTTTCCTGATTCACTGGTAGCAGAAAAAAAAAAAAAAAAGCCATGCCTTTTTTTTCTTTTTTTTTTTTTTAAGGCAGCTTCCTGGGCCATACTGCCAGTGCAAACTCCAGCTATGGAGCACGTGAATGGCATTTGTGGGCCCAGGTGGTTCTGTGCCCACTCAGGGTCGGGAGGAAAGTAACTGAGACCATGCCCACGGCTCACCAGCCCCTGCCTGGGCAGGTGGCAGGATCAGGACTGCTAGGCATGCACAAGCAGGAGGGCATGACGGATTCCTGCTACCATACACAGAGATATTTCCAGGCCACACAGTGTGATACAGGGCATATTTAGCTATTTCTCAGATAAAAAGATTTTGTGTGCTGCACGCTCATTCTCAGAGTTAAAATGCTACGTGTGGCTCCTACCTGGCGGCCCCAGAGCTGGCAGTAATGGTACCTCCACCATTTCGAAAGTGGAGAGAGGTGGAGCCAGCATCCAGAGCAGCTGCAAGCAAGCTGCTTACCATTTTAAAAGCTCTTCAAGACAGGAAAGAATTACAGATAAGGAAATAAACAGATTCAGACATAAAAGAACTCTAAATGGGTCAGAGTGTTGGATAAATGTACATAGGCTCGGGAGAGAGAAGAAAAAGAGTATAGAATGTTGGAAAAGAAGTAAATCACTTTTTAAAAAATGTCTTCAAAGAGACAGAGTACAGACAGTCATAGATTAAAAAGAGTAAAGGAAAATAAGCCACATAAAGATGGACTATATACAGAGAGTCTGGATTATGTATATTATTGTGTTTTCTTTTAATTTTTTGACTGTGAAGGAGCTAAGTACAGAAAGACATGTTATTGTGTAGGCTGCTAAACTAAACCATCATGTATATTATAAAGGTATCTTGACTTCAGAATTTGAGTCTAAGGATATATTGCTTTGGATAAGAGGTTCTTCTTTTGTTTCCACAGAGGATGAGAACCTATGGAATCATTCCAGACTAATGTGGATTGATGGACCAAGAACCCCTGAAAGGTCACTGTAAACACCCCAAAAAAATTACTTCGCATAACTGCTGACTGAGATGAGCCTAGCAAACATGATACACCATAAAAAACCTGATTAACAGTGCCCACAATCAGCAGGAAGCAGTATGGAGGAAACTATGCCCATATTCCCAAATATTGTTTGTTTACATTTAAAGGGGAATATGATATAGATAAGAATAATTTGCATTGGCATGGATCTTGGTTTATTGATGTAAATTTAAGGACAATTTTGTTATATGTATATGTATTTCTAATCTTGATTAAGGTATTGTGTTTGTATAGTTCATTTTAAAATGTAATGTATAATTAAGAAATATAATTTAATAAATACTCATCTATAATAGTCAAGCTTGTAATCATGGATGCTAGTTAGATTTTCTAGATGTATAGAGATGTATCTCACTTAGGTATTCTTCAAATCTTTCAGAGATCTTCAGAATATGGCATTTAAAATGTTTTAAAAACTTAGGACTTTTCATGACACATCTGCTCCTGGCAGCATCAATCTACTTCTAGAGGAAGATGGGCATTGAAAAGGCTCCTTGTGGAGTTTACTAGTCATTTGGGCAAGAAACTGCTCTTGCCTGGACTGCTTAACTGGACAGGACCCACAGAGAAATGACTGCTGAACTTCCCTAAAGGTGAGATGATTCTTTGGGGTTCCTTCTTCACGAAAGACTCTACTAGACATTCTGCAGGATACAAAAGAAAGTGACTGGCAAACTGCCAATATAGGGCAGAACTGTCTTTGAAATTTCCTGCTTCATGGAAAAGTCTTCTGTATACTATGACCCTGTAGGCTGAAGAGGGATGCCCCAATGGCACAGAACTCTGGGTGACTGTCCAGGAAGTGAGATGTCTCTGTCAATTCTAGAGTTTTGGAAGTTGCTTACAATGCACTTCCTGTTTACTTAGGTAATATTATATTCTTCTGAAGTCTTTGATGGAGTAGAAGAATTTATAATTATAGTTTTCCTTAGTTGTGATAAAAGATAAAGTAGATATGTTAAAGCTAAAACCTTTTTTATTTAAATAGAAATGGGGAGGTGGTGTGGGAGTCTCCTTTGTATGCTGTGATTACAATTAATGAAGAAAGAAACTGCTTTGGGCCTATAGCAGAGCTATAGGGGAAGAGAGCTAGGTGGGGAAAACTAAATGGAATGCTGGGACAAAAAAAGGTGGAGTCAGAGAGAAGCCATGAAGCCGCCGCTGGAATCAGACATGTTGAAACTTTGCCAATAAGCCACTGCCACATGGCAATACACAGATTCATAGAAATTGGTTAAATTAATATGTAAGTGCTAGCCAATAAGAAGTTAGAGCTAATGGGCCAAGCAATGATTTAATTAATACAGTTTCTGTGTGATTATTTTGGGTCTAAGCTAGCTGGGAGGCCAGGAACCAATAAGCGGCCTTCCTCTACAATGGACCAAGAAAGGTTGAAATTTAATAATTACGTAAAGTGAAAATCTTTGTGACTATTGTTCTTTGGTGCTGGCTTAAATGAGGTGTCATTTCTGGGAAACAGTACTGAGAAATGAGAAAATATCCACTCAGCCATAAAAAAACAGTGATGAATGATAAGAAACATTTATTTATCCAATATTGAAGATGATGTTGGCATGGAATACATTTGTCTCATTGACCACTTGGAAAAAGTTATTTTTCAAAAACAAAATTTGTTTTTTGGGGGATTAGGTTTATTATCTGGAATTTTCCTTTTTTTCTTCTATTTTAAACTGTCTGTGGTATGTGCCTTTAATCTTAGTACTCAAGAGAGAGAGGCAGAAGCAAGAGGATCACTATGAGTTGGAGGCCAACCTGGTCTATACAGTGGATTCCAGGTCATCCAGAACTACATAGTGAGATTTTCTCTTACTAAGAAAAAAGGAAGGAAGGAAGGGAGGAGGGAGGGAGGGAGGGAAGCAGGGAAGGAAGGAAGGAAGGAAGGAAGGAAGGAAGGAAGGAAGGAAGGAAGGAAGGAAGGAAGGAAGGAAGGGTTGCGAGCCATAGGATCATTCAGTACTTAATCAGTTTCATTCCACAAGGTCAACCTATCAGAGCCAAGAGCTTTGTTTGGAGGATTAGGCCAGGATACAAGGCATGTTAAAATTATTGCCTTGTGAATAAAGAGGCTGTTTTTTTGCTGTAGATTTCTCTGTAGCTTATCCCCATTTGTTACAAATTTGGAATTTATCTCCCACAGTTCAGCACCATTTTATCTGGGCACAATTTTCCTTATGCATTTGGGGTTTACTGATTATATCCCCTAGCTATGTGTGAAGACAGTCACATAGACAAGAAATCTGCTTCCCATTACCAGGTCTCTGTTCTTTTTTTCAATGTAAACATAGAAATTGGCCTTCCTGCAACTGTCTTTATTGACAGGTATTTGGTCAGTGTTTAGGGTCCAGGAAAAAGTATTCCATTTAAGACATTTCCAGATATCAAAGGACATAGAACTACTACATGCCCAAAGCTATTGAAAGGACATAGAACTACAACATGCCCAAAGCTATTGAGGTATAGCTACTCAGATAGAAAAATATAGGCATGCCCTGGTTTTACCTCACTTATAGATAAGGAAAGCACTGACCCAAAACTAGCCTTGCATTAAAAGATTCCTAACTCCTCACCTCACCTTCACCTCAGCTTACTGATGACTTTAGTTCAGGAGATTTACTGCTTTTGTCTTTCTCTCAGGAAAAATAATTAACAATCTATCCACAGCCCAGAGGAAACAAACCTCCACTGGCACTTCTGCTAGGAGAAAGGAAGGAAGGAAAGGAGGGAGGGAAGGAGGAGAGAAGGAGGGAGGGAGGGAGGAAGAACCACTTATATAAAATCATTCTTTTTTTTGTTTGTTTGTTTTTGAGACAGGGTTTCTCTGTAGCTTTGGAGCCTGTCCTGGAACCAGCTCTTGTAGACCAGGCTGGCCTCAAACTCACAGAGATCAGCCTGCCTCTGCCTCCCGAGTGCTGGGATTAAAGGTGTGCACCACCACCACCTGGCAAAATCATTCCATTATAGTACTATTTGATATGTTCATGATAATTCTATACATAAAACAAATGTTTTTAATTTATCCAAGAAAAAGAGTTGATCTGGGGAAGAAAAGACCGTAATCTTTGAAATCACTATTTTACTTGTTTTGAAACCCAAAGCAAAGTGTTCTATATGATGTTTATCTTTTATAGATAAATGCTCTGTAAATATCACAAAATGGCCTTGTCATGCCCCTTTCTGACAGACTGTACACCGGAAACAACCCTGCTTGGTCCCTGTCTCCCTCTGATAGTCAGTCTCTTCGATGTCTTCTTCCTCTGCCATGAAGCACTGACAATATTAACTGGTATCAAGAACAGTTGTATGAACAGTCTGCTAATTTCCCCTAACTGTTCAAACTGGGAATGATGTGGCATGATGTTCGGTTATATATTAGTCCATTTCTGTGCTTGTAGGAAAATCAGTTTTTCATCTCACCAATTTGATAGCTAAAAGTGCTTGGTCTCATATGATGATTGGCATCTAAATAATTCTGTAGAGAAATGGAGAAAAAACAGGCATGTTAGGTAGCTATGCTGTATGAGAACCCACTCTCCCTAGAACTACCAGAGCCCTGGGGAAAAACCATTAACCCATTTTAAGAGTGATGCATCCATGGCCTCATATCAGGCTCTGCCTCTTTAACGGAGGTTCAGCATGGGAACAAATGTTTGGAGGATAAACCATATCTAAATCATATCAGGCCGCATGCTGGAAGGAATTGAAACCAAGATAATGAAACAATATGACACTCCCCTCTTCTTGTCATCATTCATAAGGGTCACAACAGAGAAACAACCGAAGCACCTGTGTTTGCTTGGAATGGAGAATAAAGGGACAGCAGCCCTGACACACTCCGGGCTGTGCTTCAGCAGTGCCTCTGCCCTTCTGTTCTTACCTAACGCCCATAACAACCCATGACTTGCTATCGCATCTCCTACCCATTGTGTGGATGAGCCACTTAAGTCAGAGGGGCGACCTGCTTAAAGCCATGGGACTGTAGCTTTAGGCCTGCTTTTTGAACCCAGATCTTCCAGCACCAGGTCCAGCTCTGACCCAGGGTACCGAGCTTCCTCTTTCCCTCCCAGGGCTGCTCCAGGATTTAAAACATAGGCATCTTTCCATGAAGTCTGTCTTAGAACCATCTCATATCACCAAGACCCAGAATGACTCATGACATTTCAACCTCTACATTTTAGGACACTATATAAATGTTTTATAATATTAATGTCCTTGAGCACTTTGTTAAAGTTTTCTCTTGACTCTCCCTTGCCTGATTCATTTTTACAACATAGAAAGGTAGAAGTAATTGACTATTTAAAAAATAGAGAAGCCTGCTTAATTACTGGTGGATTACATACTCTGTCAATTGTGGCCTTATTTCAGACTGCTATTTATGTATCTGGTTTTTTGTTGTTGCTGTTGTTGTTGTTGTTGTTGTTGTTGTTTTTCTGTTTGCTTTGCTTTGTTTTAGATGGATTTCTTTATTAAGTAACCCTGGCTATACAGGAACTCACGACCCACTATATAGAACAAACTAGTTTACATGGATCAGGCTGGCTTCAAATTCACAGAGATCCATCCCAAGTGCTGGAATTAAAGGGATGTACCACCATACCCAGCTAAGATTTTTAGTGGTTTGCAACAAGTGCTGGAGAGCTAGCTTGACAGTTAAGAGCCTTTGCTGCTCTTCCAGAGAACCTGTGTTTGGATCCTAGCGCCTAAATCGGGAGACCCACAGCCATTCCCGGGGTTCTGACACTCTCTTCTGGCCTTCACAGGCATGTAACAAATACACACACACACACACACACACACACACACACACACAAATATACAAACATATAAACTTTAAAAAATCTTTAAAAATGCTTGTATCAAAGCATACAGAGGGAACAATGAAAACAACCCACGATAGCCTTTCTTATGTATAACTGCAATAAGCCTAACTCATTACATTCACTGTGATGCGTATTCATAAAACTCTTTTCTTTTTTTTTAAAGTAACAGTTCCTATTCCCCTCTCAGTGTTGCAGGCATGCTGTGGAAAGAAGGGGCAGTTAGCCCTGTTCCCTACACGTCTGACATGAGCAGAATGCTTCAAGGCTGAGACGGGAAGAACAAGGACTGCACAGTGTGTGTGTGTGTGTGTGTGTGTGTGTGTGTGTGTGTGTGTGAACTGTCTTAGTGTAGTGGGCTGTTCTGAAAGTGGGAAACTCAGGTCTGAGGGCACCTCTCCTGGGAGAAGAGATAGGGAGGGAAAGGTATCCCTTCGAGTAAGTGATGACTGAGCCAAGACGGGGAGACTGTGTATGGGAGGGAGTGGAAACGGACGTTTTCTGAGACTTACTTTCTGAAGCAGTAAGTATACAAGAAAGCAGGGCGGCCTTTGCTTGCCAGGCGGAACCCTGTGGACACCTAGACCGGGGGCAACTGACGGAAAACCATGTGTGCGGATAGAATGCTCGTATGTGGTTTGGGTATTTGTATTGTGAGCTGGTCTGGAGGTTAGTTAAAAACTATTCTAAAGCCTTTGAAGACTTTGTGTTTTCATGCAAGATGAATACACACTGTTAGAAACAAAGGAAGTCACTTACCATATCAACATCAAAGTTTTTAATGATTTTCTTCCACATCGTCCTTGAAAATAACCAGTCCCGGAGCGGCATATACTGCCACAGATAGAGCCCAAACAAGGCAGGCTGATTAGCCATCCAGACTTCATTCAAATCATTGGCCATGGAGATCAGCACCAGCCGGACACAGCGGCTCGTTTCCATCTTGGAAACACCCCGCGCTGTATTATCCCCTGTAGTCTAAAAGGTCAAAATAAAATGAATGCTGGAGATTTATCAAGCTATTTTTACAGAAATGTTGTGTTAAGAAGGAGCCAAAGGCTGGGTGCCAGTGGGGCCCATGCAGTCTGGAGCCTTACACCTGGTACAAGTCTCTTACTGGCATTAGCAGGAGTCATGGGTTTCCATGACATCCCACCACCCCTCACAGCAATCACAGCCAGGCTGGTTGAGATTGTGCTGGCGAATCAAAAGATCGAAGCTTTCTATTTCCTTTACTATGGTGCCTAATGGTTGTTATTACCTCAAAAGGCACATGAAAACCCCACAGAAATGAAGTCCCACCCACCTGTGGTGAGACAGAAGAAGATAAAAGGGATTTTGTTACCAACTAAGGAGTTATTGCACAACAGTGGGTGGACAGGGTGGCCAGCTTTAGAACCGATACTGTGCAATTTTATTAGTATTAGAAAAACTGGTCACCGAACATTGCCAGCTAAATTTAGAACGTCTCATAACAATTGGGGATTAAGTTATGCGGCTAATTAGTAAGCACTTCTGACAGAAACCATAGCCTCTATGATTCAACACTGTGGAATAAGAAGTAAAACATTCCAACTGTTTTTCAACCGAAAACATTTACCTTAGTGACTACTGAAGTCAAACAATTCTTGTAAATATTCGAATGCACAGGTCCTGGGCTAATGGAAGACACCGTTATACCCGGGTAGTTAAAAAGTTCACTTTGGAGGGTATTTAAAAACCCCTAATAGGCAATAAAAGGAAAATGAAAAGAAAAAGGAAATTAGACACAGATACAGGTCTCATTTCATTGTCTCATGACTCGAGGAACTGTGTTCTAAAATGCTTGAATAAAGGACAGATAGCATACACACAGGCCACAGGCTATAACAGCAAAAGCGGTACTCTCAGATCTTGCCAGACACCAGGGGTTCAGTGGATGCTAGCAGTAGCCTTTGGCATCATTGCTTCTATGGCAGACCAATACTGAGCAGGCACCAGACTTTTCTCTGAAGACCCCTGTTTCTACCTCCTCATAACAATCTTCATTTCCCCACTCCCAAAATGTTTATGTTTTACAGAGGACCTCAGGTAGGAGTAGAGGGGCATCTCTTCATTTACTGGATAGATTTTTTTAAATATTTATTTATTTATTATGTATACAATATTCTGTCTGTGTGTACGTCTGCAGGCCAGAAGAGGGCACCAGACCTCATTACAGATTGTTGTGAGCCACCATGTGGTTGCTGGGAATTACTCAGGACCTTTGGAAGAGCAGGCAATGCTCTTAACCACTGAGCCATCTCTCCAGCCCCTGGATAGATTTTTTTTAAATGAGGCTTTAAAAAAAGGAGTGGAACTTTACAATAACTACCATAGATAAATCCAATCCATTTTTTAATTATGTATTATCATTTTTACTGATTAATTAATTTCCATGAAGTAAATTTTGCCTGATGGATAATGCATAGCTAGTCACAATTACAATGTGATTGTCTTTGGACTGACTTTTAAAAGAAGCTAGACCAGGAATAAACCCACTATTAGTATTTTGCTATATGAACATAATACCCAATTGCCCTCTAAATTTATATCTTTAGGGGCTAGAGAGATGGTTCAGTGGTTAAGGGTACTAGCTACTCTTCCAGAAGATCCTGGTTGGATTCCCAGCACCCACATGGTACCTCACAACCATCTATAACTTCAGTCCAAAGACTCTGGCACCCTCTTTTGGCCTCTGCAAGCACCAGACACACACCTGGTCCATAGACATACATTCAGGCAAAACACACCAATACATATTTTGGGGTGTTTTGGTTTTGTTTTAGTTTTGTTTATTTGTTTTGGATTTTCCAAGACAGGGTTTTATTGTGTAGCCTTGGCTGTCCTGGAACTAGCTCTGTAGACCAAGCTGGCCTCAGACTCACAGAGATTCACCTACTTCTGACTTCCAAGTGTTGGGATTAAAGGTGTGTGCCACCACCATCCAGCCCAATGCACATTTTTTTGGTGTGTGTGTGTGTGTATATATATTCATAGATAGGTACAGCTCTCAAAACTTATCAGAGAAGTTTCTTTGTAAACAACAAATTGGAGTTAGTGAGAAAGAAAGAAAGAAAGAAAGAAAGAAAGAAAGAAGGAAAGAAAGAAAGAAAGGGAAAGAAGGAGGGAGGGAGGGAAGCAGAGAGGGAGGGAAGCAGGGAGGGAGGGAAGCAGGGAGGGAGGGAAGGAGGGAGGGAGAGAAAGAGGGGGAGAAAGAAAGAAGAAAGGAAAGAAAAAGAAAGAAAGAGATAGAGAGGGAGGGAGGGAGGGAGGGAAGGAGGAAGGAAGAAGAAAGGAAGGAAGGAAGAAAGGAAGGAAGGAAGGAAGGAAGGAAGGAAGGAAGGAAGGAAGGAAGGAAGGAAGGAAGGAAAGCACAGAAAACTGGGGAGAGTGAAAATGACCTTGGAGGAGTCTCTGGGAGAAATGGGGACTACATATGATGAGAATACATTTGTGTGCATAGATGAAATTCTTTTTTTTTAAAGAAAACTTGATACAAATATTATATTGTAAAAAAGAATAGCTAGCTTCCAGACTTAACGATACTGGAGACTGTAAACCAACTATGAATAACCAGCAATCTGGTTTTCCTCACGTTTCTAAGGTAGGAAATATTCCCGGACGGCAGTTTTAACACCAGGCCAGCTAATGAAATGCCTAAGTTGTTGACTCAGGATGTTTGGGAAAGCACGTTCTGGAGAACACAAGCAGCAGTTGGGGTTGCGGGTGCAGGTGGGGGGCGGGACGGCGTGGGGGGGTTGCAGGCGGGGGCGGGGTGCAGGCGGGGCGGGGCAGCAGGGGTGCGAGTTGGAGAACTCAGCTTGATGTTCAGAGAGACTGGGCCCTGGCTTATAGATTCCCATCGAATTGATGGGTTTCTCAGCACTGGTTACTTTAACTGTTGCTGTGTTGTTGGATTCAAAGTGTGGGCTATGCGACCTTCTGTGGGTGGCCTTGACAGTTCAGGGCCAGCTTCCTTGTGGTTCGGTAAGTGAAGCGAAGTCGGAAAAGGTTTCAAGAGGTTCTGTTTTCTTAAGATGTTTGCAAGTGTCTGCTTTCCAAGGTTAAAGGGAAGGCGCTTTTAGCTGAAGCCAGCAGAAGTACAAAGGCGTAGGTCATTAACTATACTGAACACGAACTCCTAGCCCATTCGATTTCTCTTTGCCAAAAGTGCTTCCATATCTGATTCAGCAACATTAAAAGCTTTGAGCTCCCTATACCACACAGCTCAGGGATGGTGAAGGGTCCTGCAGTCAGAGACTGATGACCCAAGGGTGGACCTAAACAAAATGTGAGGGTAGGGAAAACTCCCCTACTTTTAGCCTCTCCTGGTCTGTAGCAAAAGGAAGGGACACCAATCTGCCAAGCCTGGAGCACTGAACCCTCTCTTTGGCTTAACCACACCAGGGATGGTGTATAAACTCCAGTGATTAAAGTCACTCTCAAACTTCCTGGGAACTGAGAAGGAAACCTGCTTTTCACAAGCCTACTGACCTCAATGTTCAACTAAATTGCTGCTCTAAGTAACAAAATCGTAAATCTCTCTCTACGGGAGGTTGATTGACAGTCCTTGACTAAATCTGAGGAGAGCTTCTGAACTGCAGCCCTTCATCACAATGCACCTGTCCACACCGAACAGGCAGAGGAAGGTCCTATTAGACCTCACCTCCAATTTCTACAGGACTATGGTGATCTGAACCACTGCCTCATACAATTCTGATAGTAATATATTCCATTAAAACTTACTTTCCAGCCATGTGCGCTGACCTATGCCTGTAATCCCAGCACTTGGGAGCTGAAGGCAGAAGGACCAGTAGTTTAAGGCCAGCTTCAGATACATAGAGTTTAAGGCTAACATGTGCTGAACGAGATCATGACTCAGTAACAAATAGGAGGGGGAGGGATTTACTTTCAATAGGATGAGTTAAATTTAATGTTTCCTCAATCGCTGACCTTATTATGTCTTTAGCTTTACTCTTAAACCAGCATAAGAATCATTCTGTTTTAATATTTATTACTGCTAAGGTGAAACAGGTCAGGTTTTTCTCCTAGTCTTTGCCTTGATCAAATTTTTCTTCTTTCCAGGAAACCAGAATGGAGTTCACGTTTCCCTAGGAGGAATATGGAGTCCAGGATCAATCGTTCAGTAGTCATGCATCCAGAATGAGACCCGCTAAGAGAGAGTTGCCTCACAGTTAGACTTGAAAATATGGCGGAGAAAGAGCTCAGGCAATAGGCCGTATATGCCTGCTAGAGCAGAAATACTCTATCTTCCCAGGATTCACCTCAGAGTGCAGCATCATGCAGGCACACATTGGAAATCTGCTGAGCAATAAGCACGAGCAGCTCAAATATTTTTGATCATTTACTGGTGCATTCCTCTCAAAGTTCTTCTCTTTATGTGGCCCTTTAGTGCCACACCTCCCTGGCTGACCTCATCCACTGATGGACAAATCCCCCTTACGCATCGTGGGCAATGCTAAAGGAGTTGGGTTCAGGAGCCTTACCCGAAGAGCGTGCTTGCTGGCCACGTACGCACTGCAAAGGGGCACGGGTAAAATTCCCCCAATGCTATTCATAACCACGATCTTTCCTTGCTTTCTCTTCATCATGTGAGGTAGAACACAATTGGTCAAGGACACTGTCCCTAGGTAGTTCACCTCTAGTATCTCTTTGACGATATCCATGTTGGTATCAAACACAAAGGAACAATGCACTTTTCCACCATTGTTGATCAGAATATCGATCTAGTTAAATCAAATCAGAAAGAGGACTTTTTAGAGATGGTCTTGGAATGGACTGATGGAACTCCTAGCAAAGAGTGTTATTATTCTGGCGAATCAGTAAAGCCACGTTACCTTTCTAAAACCAACAACAGAAAATAAAATCAAGCCAGGTGTGGTGACTCAAGCCTTAAATCCCAGTACTTAGGAGGCAGAGGCAGGCAGAGCTCTGTGAGTTCAAGGCCATCCTTGTCTACACAGTGTGTTCCAGGACAGTCAGAGCTGTATACTGAGATCCTGTCTTGAAACAAAACGAAAGACAAGCAAACAAAACAAGAAGGAAAAAAAAATCAACACAATTCACCTATTCAGTTTAAGTAATAATATTTCACAAGATAGAGCAAGATTCATAAATATCAAAGTTGTGGTGAATGCTTAGCTCTTTTGCCTACAGTAGGAACTGAAAATTTAAAAGGTAAGAAAAATACTAATGACCGAAGTCCAAGACCCAGCGGTCCAGAGGTTCAAGTGGCAGACCTGCCCTGCTAATGCATCCCATGGGCCTGAATCTCTGTGAATGACACCACAGACAAGAATCTCTTCAGCAGTTTTAACAAAGCTGGGGGAAAGCCATATAATGAATACTCTATCAACAAAACCTGCTGCTACTTACCCTACCAAACTCCTGGAGAACAGTTCTCGTAGCCATGTCATGGGAACTTCTGGCAGTCAGGTCAAGGGGCAAAACCAGTATGTCTTTTTCTTTTACGTTGCCATTCTCTAGATTAAAACACATCAACACTTTGGTGAGAAAGCCGTGCTACAATGCAATTAAGTTCTTTCCTGTTCTCCAGGTCTATCCCTGAACCTCCTAAAAAGAATGAACTTGTAAGAGAACTCTGGCAAAATAAAGAGTATCCTACAGCAAAAAAACAAAACAAAACAAAAACAAAAACCACCAGAGCATATTTAGAAGTATAGAGTATGTTTGTTTTGAAATATGCTCACCAAGTACCATTGCTATGCTTCTGTCTTCTTTGGTCTGGCAGCTGAACCCAGAACTTCATACCAGGCAAGAGGCACTTTACCACAGTGCTAAATTCCCACCCCACCCTGTTGCTTAGTTGCGCTTTCACACCGTTCCAAAGCCAGTGAGTTACATTCAGATCAGGTAGACGTTCAGAGCCCCTCTGCCTAATCACATGTAACACAGAGAAACTGAGACGTGGATGTGGTTATGTAGCAGAATTAGAGACTGAACCTAGAGCCTCCCTCATGCTAGGCGAGTGTTCCACCACAGAACAACCTCTCAAACCTTTAAGGAAATGATCAAAGAAGCACGGAGGTTAGACTTCCCGGATAGATGCCAGTCCGTGTTCTGGTCCCTTCCCCCCCAAGCCCCACCCAAGGCAGTAGTCACATCCTGTACACAAAGCCACTCCAAGGAGAACAGACTGGAGAGTGTGTGGAGCATGGGACCAGCTGCCTGCTCACAGATATGCCCCTGGCATGAAGAGAGAAGTTTCCACATGGAATAAAGTTCTATTAGACATCTATCACATGACCTATGGTCAGCACCGGCCTACTTGATAGGAAAGATGAGAGATTCCATCTTTAAGATTCTGTCCCTTTCCCTGCATCTAACGGAGTGAACTTTAGAGGCCCTGGGAAAGAGATACCCCATATTTTATCTGTCTTAGTTGGGTTTCTATTGCTGTGAAGAGGCACCATGACCGAGGCAACTTTTATAAAGGAAAACATTTAATTGGGAGGATTGAAGTTCAGATGTTCAGTCCGTTACCGTGATGGAGGAACCCGGCAGCATGAGGCAGACGTGCTGGAGGGGTAGCCGACAGTTCTACATCTTGCACAGGCAATGAGAAGTGGTCTGTCTCCCTGGGTGTGACTTGAGCATAGGAGACCTCAAAGCCCACTTCCACAGTAACACACTTCCTCCAACAAGGCCACATCTACTCCAACAAGGCCACACCACCTAATAGCGCACTTTGTTTAGGAGCCATTTTCTTTCAAACCACCGCATCATCTTTTTTACCCTTGTGTGTTTGCTTCTTTTCTTTTAATCACTATAAATTTAGTACTTTCAATATTTTCTTTGTTATTTTATTTTGGAAGAGCAGAGTATCTATCTTTTTTAATTTATTTTTATTTTATGTGCATTGGTGTCTTGCCTACATTTATGTCTCTACGAGGGTGTCAAATCCACTTTAAGGTGGATTACAAACAATTATGAGCTGCCATGTGATTGCTGGAATTGAACCTGGGTCCTCTGGAAGAATAGCCAGTACTCCTAACTACTGAGCTATCTCTTCAACTTCAATATTTCATTTTTGTAAAAATAAGCATTATATTTTCTTTGGATTCCTCTTCTTGAATTTACCTAATTCTGCCATTTATATATCTTTTTAAAATAATACTGCCATATATAAGATCAGGAATAGAAAAGCAAAAGACAGCATCAAGAGTAAGAATCTCAGCAAGGAAACTGAGATGCTGACAAAAACTGAGATAAATGTCAAAAAATGAATGTCTGTTAAGCCAAGAAAAAGCACATTGAGGAAAAAATTCTCAATAGACTAGGTCAAGTGGAAGAAAGAATCTGAGGAATAAAAGCAAAGGTGGGGACAGAACCACATTCAAACCTCAGTGTAAAAACACACAACATCCAAAATGATCGATAATTTGTGGGGGAGAAGAAAGGTCTGAGATTAAAAAAAAAATTAATGATATAAAAAATCTATTCAGCCAGGCAGTGGTAGTGCACCTTTAATCCCAGCACTTGCAAGGCAGCGGCAGGAAGATCTCTGTGAATTCAATGCCAGCCTGATCTGCAAAGAGAGTTCCAGGACAGCCAGGACTGTTACACAGAGAAACCAAGTCTCAAAAAAGAAAAAGGAAAGAGAGAGAAAGAAAATTATTCAATGAAATAGAGAGAGAGAGACTCCCCATGTATTGGATAAAAGAGACAATCTGTTCTTCCCCTCAAGCAAGTTCTAAGTCATTTGATCCTGAACAAGCATGGAGAGAACTGACTGTCCTACCTAAGGTGGAAATCTGTGCAAAACCGAGAGAAGGGCAGCCAAAAAGAAGGGAACTCCAAGCAAGCACAGCTGCTTAAGAGGTAAGAGAAGGTGGAGCAGGGCGAAGGAAGCCCAGGAGTCAGCGCTAGCTGCACAGGGCAGTCCCACCTCCCCTCACCTCTAGGAAGCACGGCTGCTGTGGGGAATGGACTCACCCAGGCATCTTCTCTTCACCCGCTCCAGCTCCTGCGCCCTTCGGGCTGACAGCACCAGCGACACCCCAAGTTTAGATAACTGGACAGCCAGCTCCTCACCAATGCCACTGGATGCTCCCGTCACCCACACCACCTTGCCAGTCAGCACCTGTTCTGCAGAGGAAGGAGGAGAGTTGTCAGGAATAAGTGTGGGATAGTGATACATATCAAAGAGAAGCAAAACATAAATGAAGAATAAATAAACTAGCCGGGTGGGCTAGTGCCTTCCTTTAACCTCGGCACTCGGGAGGCAGAAGCATTTGGACCTCTGTGAGTTTGAGGCCAGCTGGGTCTACATAGTGAGTTCCAGAATAGCCAGGGCTATGTATGAACAAAACCCATCTCAAAAAACAAAAACAAGCCAAAAAGAATAAATAACCTTTAAACCATGTCATTAAACAAGACAACCTATTATGCATAACTTAAAGTTTCAAATCTCCTACAATTTCTTAAAAAATCACGTTTGTTTTCTACCCATCCAATATTTATATATGTCAAAATTCTTGGTAAATTTTCCAGACTTTATTCTGACTCTGATAGTTTCATTTGACTAAAACTCTGTTTATCTACTTATCTATGTATTTTATAAAGAAAATTAAAGTTGCGAAGTAGAAACCAATTGCCTGAATTCGATTGTCTTACCCTTTATAGGGGAGATTCAGATTAAATGATTGGGTTTCAACCAGTTTTCAGTTCTATGAGTCCAATTTTTTTTTTTTTTTTTTTTGTGGTGGAGTTGTTAGTAAGGTTCTGGATTTACCACATTCTGGTCAATGGTATGCTATGATCATCCTGCACTTAAATGTAGAATTTTCTTATTTTGTTACTCGTATCCAATGTCTTCCAGGTAATATCATATTATATCATATTACAAACACGCTCCACCTAATGTAGGTGCTGTCATCTTAGAAGGATGTAGTAAAAGATGTGTTGTATAAGGTAGAAATGTGAACCGTGGTCCCCAAGCCTCTCCGTCCCTATAAAGACTGCTCAAATAATACAGTGGCCACACAGAAGGCGGGAAGTGATACTGGGGAAGATGATCACCAGGGTCCTTCTGAAACTTAGCCCAGAGCTGCAGTGATGCGGAAGCAAAGCTTTTGTGTCCAGCTCTAAGAGAAATGTGGAGTAAAGCCTTTGTGTCTGGCTTTGAGAGAAATGTTTCAGCCAAGCCTTTGCTATGTCTGGGTTAATCAGTAGAGGCCAAGAAATTGTTTTGAGACCATTTAAACCACGAAGAATTGTTTTTCTGGAGACTCTGCACTTGGTGCTACATGGGAGCATGAAGTTCACCGAACTTGGTACTGAGACATACCAGGCAGACCTGGACTTCTCACTTTTGATTATGACTTGCCTTAAGTTTGTGTGGGTTTTCTGTTCTCACGGGCAACAAAAGCAAGGTGAATTTGATGTTGAAGCCTTTCCCAGCCTCAATGAACCTTATACATATTTGAAAAAACTAGAGTGAAGTAGGTGGGTGTTAGCCTTTTCCAAGAAGGTTGTACCCCTCTACTCCTTTGGAAAATGAAGGTTTAGCATCTTGGCGGGCCTCTCTCTCTACCCCAGCACCTGCAATGCAACATCAAACAATACACGGTGGTGTGAAGTTCTTGTCTTTAAAAAAATCAGAGTGATGAGCTCACGGGCTGCAGCTCAGCTAGGAGAATTCTTGCCGAGCACTGTCCGAGGCCCTGATGTCAAGCCCGGCACTTTATAAGCTGACTGCGGTGGCACACACCTACCATCCCGGCACTCCAGGTGAAGGCAGGAGGACCAGAAACTCAAAGACTATCCTCCTCAGATGCGTAACAAGTCCGAGGTTAAGCTGATACCCTGCTAACCTGGCTTGGAAAAGAAAAAGAAAACAAGGAAACAAACTTCTCTGTAAGACTCAGGGACTATCAAGAAGAAAAGGCAAAAAGAATCTAAGAACCAGAGGCTGACGAGAACCTGAACAGAAACTGTTGTCTTTGTGAGGCAGAGCCTCCTGGCTCAGGCACTCACAGCTGCTGAGGCAGACTGCACACCAGCCGGACAACGAATCAGTCAACAGTAGAACCAGGGGAATCTCACCATGTGAGATTCAGGCTTGGGGGATGCAGAAACTCTTCCCAGAAGGCTTCAGAGAGGCAGACAAGAAGGCTGTCACTAGAGAGGGCACACTGAGAGCCTGGGGTCGAGGGTGGGAGAGTGTTGGACTTTTCATTGTTTATCCTAGAATTTTGTGGTTTTGCCTTTATTCATTTTTAAGGAGACAGGCAACAATATAACCTACAGAAAGGAAGGGGTTTTTTTTGGCCCATATTCCAGGCTATGCTGCTTTAGGTGTCTGTGTCTGATTTGTGTTCCTCCTGTTGTTTTCCTCAGCCTTCATCCCACCCTGAGTTTTTTTTTTAATATTTATTTATTTATTATGTATACAATATTCTGTCTGTGTATATGTCTGCAGGCCAGAATGAGGGCACCTGACCTCATTACAGATGGTTGTGAGCCACCATGTGGTTGCTAGGAATTGAACTCAGGACCTTTGGAAGAGCAGGCAATGCTCTTAACCACTGAGCCATCTCTCCAGCCCCCCACCCTGAGTTTCTTAAGACATTTTCCCCCTAAAGCTGCCCGCTATGAAATTTTAATTCCACGAATACATGATATAGTCACCTATATGCTGTACATAGAAGTATGCTTTCATATATCTAGTTGGATGAAACTTACTCTTTTGTCAATAAAGGTTTAAGAATGACTAACTCTCAAGATTGAGTTAAATCTTAAAGGCTATTAACATTGTTTGGCTCTTTTCAAAATGACTTATGCCACTATATCTGATAAAAACTAATTCATTTTGACTGATCTTGTAACTGCTGATCAACAATTTTTCTTTTGGATTTTATTTTGAGTTGGAAGACCTTTGTAGAACTGCATAATAAAAATATTGATTTTGTTTCATTCTCCAAGTCCAAGTTTACACAAAACCCACCCAACATGAAACATCTGTGAGTCTTTGGCAGCCAAAATTATTATTTGAAAAATTAATCAAAAGAAGGTTCTAGTATCAAATGAGAAGGTGATGTCAGGTATTTTCCGTTGAAAGAGAAAGTCCACCAAGCCCAGCCATCTGCTCCCCTAGGTTTCTCTGTGCACTGGCTGCTAAGTCTGCACAAGTTATGCGAGGAAAGAGAGAGAGAGAGAGAGAGAGAGAGAGAGAGAGAGAGAGAGAGAGAGAGGAAGAAGAGGAGGAGGAGGAGGAGGAAGAAGAAGAAGGAAAGGAGAGAAAAGAGAGGAAAGGAGAGAAGAGGAGAGGAGAGGAGAGGAGAGAAGAGGAAAGAAAAAAAACATCGAGTAGTAAGAATTTGGTCTGTAGGGGTGAGTTTTGCAGAGAAGAAGGAAGATAAGAATGTATTATAGACCTTTTATGCCCCACTACCAGAACCTCCAGCCAATTTTCACCCATAGAAAACATTGTTTGCTGTGCCATCACTTCCAAACAAATGTCACAACACACTTTGGATTCTGTCCTGAAAATTTGGCCTGGGAGCATTTCATTTCATTCCCTGGAATGTCATTCCCCTGTCTGCAAAGCATCGCCAGCCACACTTGCTTCTAGAGTTGTGCTGAACCAAAAGGAGTTCAGGGGTTGTGAAACACCCGATATAGGTGTTTAGCTCACAGGTATAAGTCCCATCGAATATGAAGCAAGACACGGACCAAAAGGTGACAAATGGAATCCCCACTAGTGTGCAAAAAAATCATGTTACTTCAAAGAAAAAAAAAAACCTGCCTGGGTCCTTTATGTTGATCTTCTAGACTCAAGAAGAGCCAAAGAATGGGCTAAGATACCACTTCAAAATTTCACAGAGTGAGGAGCCTAGGATAAACACTTTTGAAATGAAGAGGTACTGAGTCTTTGTCCAAGGAGGCAGCTTAGCATGGCAGTGTTCAGTGCTCCACAAAGTGTCTGATACTGCTTTGGATAGCTGGGAATCCAGTTAGCAAGGTCTTAAGAATGTTTTCTCTAGGGAGCAGTTTGGCAACCTCTAGCGAACTTTCCCAAAGGCGAAAACTTTCCATCTTTAGGTCAGAACGGGTCATAAAAACGCCAAACTGTTCCCTTTGCTCAGTCTCTGCCTCCCTCACCCTGACCTGGCAAAGCCCAGGCAGGCAACACTGGGACTTCCACAACCAGGGGTGGCCCAGGAGGAGGCAGACCCAGCAGAAGTCTCCCACTTTGAAGCTGAAGATCACAGAAGGGCCTCACCTGGACTACGACCCAGCCACTCAGCCCACAGCAGCGTCAGGTCACAATCGGTGCGCAAGAAGTTCAGCAGCCACAAGGCTAGCAGCAGGGCGCACAACGCCCACAGCCAGAATTCCCCGCTCATCGCAGCGAGTGGAAGACAGTTAGCTCTGAGGACAGCTGGCTGCAGAGTCTAAGTATTTATGGCCTGGGCTCTGGCTCCGCCCAGAGAGCACGGTAGGCGGGTGGGAGGGGTGAGTGTTCCTGGAACGCCAGGTGCACACTACTGGCTAGGTCCTAGACTGCAGGCACCCCGTATGGATCTAGGAATGAGGGATGCTGGCTCCAAGCAAGCACGGACCCTGACTGGACTTCAAAAGAAATGTCGCAACGGGAACAAAAAAAAAAAAAAAAGAGGTATGGGGGAGAGTGACTTTAAGTGCTTACTGTTACTATCACTGGCTTTAGTGATAGACAGGTGTCAACATCACTTTAAGAGTTTTAAGAGTTGTTTTGCCAGTGAGTTCTTTTCAAGGCTTTGACTGTATTTTGGTAGAAGACAAATCTCCAAAGTTTAAAGGCCCAGAGCCCTCCTCTCTCCTCATTCCCCTGCCCCTGCAGGAGACAGAACCTAGGACTCTGTCAGAAATGGGTAAGTGCTCCAATGCTCCCAGCAGCCCCCATCCCACAAGAAACATTTTATTAACGAGATGAACTGGGAAAAAATATACGTTATTCAGGGAAATAAATGTGTTGCTAGAAGACATTTCTTTTTCTATCTTCAGGATCTTAAAAATATGCTGTGCCTTCTATATGTGATGTGATCATTGCACTCGTGAATTCTTTGTAGCTCTAGTTACTTACGTAAGAGCTGTATGAAATAACTCAAGAGGGCAGTCAGCATTCCAGAAGGCAGTGGGTTATTAAAAACTACAACAATCAACCAACCAACAAACCCCCAGAATACGGAAGGGAGACAGACGACCCCAATGTTAGGTTAGCTGGAGGAGGGAGTTGGGTTTGGGTATGATCAAGATACAAGGGCTCCCCTGGATCTTTCAAAGCCAATGTAATTTCCCCCACTGGAGCCCAGGGTACAAGAAACAGGGAGGCCTGAAATAGTGGGGTTCCTGGCTTACTGCAGTGCTAGCTCTTCTGTTACTAGTAACAAATTAGCCCAAGTCAGGAAAGGAAAAAGCAACCTCCCTGTTGCAGAGAGAGGTACACGTGAGCAGAGGAAAGACAGGTCAGGGCAGTGAGAGTGAAACTCAGAATTCTCTGCCTCCAGGAACCTCTAAACCCGTTGTGAGGCCAAGACTTGTTATGCAAATTAAGTGCTCAAATAACTTCCTCTCTCTTAGATTAGCACCAAAAATCTTCAGGGCATTCTTTATCAAGGGCTGCTAAATCCTGGGAACCGGAGTCAGGGTCTAACTGAGACCAGTACTTAAACCTTGGAGGACTGATGGGTGGGTTGTCCCTGGTGTCAAGGTTGTCTGCATTAGGTGTCAAGGTGCTTTAATAATGGCCCAGGTTATTTGAGCTGCTGTAGAATGCCAACGGCCATTAAGCCTTTAGTGCAGTTGTTTATGTCATTTGGCTCCTAAGACAGATCTCTTGGATTATTAAAAAACCATACCCAAGATGTAGGGAAAGTGACATAGAGAGCTACATACCAAAAAATGTGGCAAAGCAGAAAATACGAATTTTGAAAGGAGTCAAATCATGGACTAGATTGAAGGAAAATAATATGAGTTTCTAACTACGGGGCGTGTATTGACAGCGGCTAGCGGGAAGAAAGAAGGCACACCAAATCACCAAGAAAACTTAGGCTTGCACATAATCAGAGGTGGATCTCTGCCCTGCAGAAGTGATGCTTTTGAATGCAACCAAAGAGATGCATTGTAGCGAGAATAACCATCCTCCCTTAGAGATGGGTTACGTTTTGGCTTTGCCCAGACAGGCATCAGACCAGAATGTCACTAAGGGTGCTGACTGAGGCAGAGAGCAAGCTCCATAGCCCTGAATGCACGAGTGAAACCTTTCCTCCTCAGGCTACAGGTTTACAATTCATTCTGTTCTTCCCTTTCCCTATGTTGCTAACCTTTCCTTTCTCCCCCCTTCACTAAAATCTGTGTTTGGGTCCAAACATCTTACAACCTGTTTAACACTTGTCAGTAATCTCACAGGCAAGTTTTGGGGTTAATAGTTTTCTTCCACCAAAAGCCTAGTTTGTCTGGGAGGGGCGATTTAGTACTGTCGGGGTGGGGTGAGGGCGTTGCTAGAGCGTCAGACTCCAGCTGAAGTCCAGGGTTATCTGTCTGCGAAATTAAAAGGACACCAGGCACTTTTGAAAACAAACCAACAGATTTTCCTTCTTAGACCTTTGGGGGAGGGGGCTTCTTGTTTGTTTTTGTTTGTTTGTTGCAGAGAGGGGGTTTTAAACTGTTTTCAAATGTAGCCTAGATAGATTCTTTCCAATGGTGTTGAAGCTGTAAGGACTCAAAAGGAACAGATGCAATCTCAGGGAATGACTGAATTTCAATCAAGGCAGGCTAGACCTCTTTCTAGAGAGCATGCCAGTGAATAACAGAAGATATTTTTATCTGTGGCAAGGAGCTGTGTGTTAACTTTTTTCTCAGGCTGAGCCTGTCCTTTGTTGGGAAGGGCGGTGGTGGCTTAGTTTTACTGTTTTACTTCCTGGATTGTAATAGCAATAGAATAAATAGGCTCTTAGGATTTCTTCTTTTAATTGTGGACTTCACGTATCTATGTAAAACGGACGGGCACACATTATAAAGGCACCTGCATCTAGAGCTGTTAATGTTTGTCTTTTAAGGTACCCTGACTGACAAATTTCTTAGCTAGATGTGATGGCACGCACCTTTGATCCCAGCACTTGGGAGGCAGAGGCAGGTAAATTTCTGTGAGTTTGAAGCCAGCCTAGTCTACATAGTAAGTTCCAGGACAGCCAGGACTACAAAGAGGTTGCTCTCCACACACACACATACACACACACACACCAACAACAACTGATCTTATGTGTCTAGGACAAATGTGTTTCATTGAATCTATTTGTGGTATCCTTGCTAAGTAGCCCATTTCTGTTTCATTTCTGTATAAGTTATAACACTAATTGGGAGGTATAGTGGGAGACTAGGAGCTACACAGACTCCAACAGGCAGACAGGTAGGAAGGGGAGCTACAGACAAATAATAACTTCCAGCTTCTCCCTCACCTTCCTAACTGAGACAAAGACTTGGTGAACTTTTCCGCCACCCTCAGGACCACCCTGCCCTCTTCCCTTCCTCCCAGACACTTAGATAGTTCAAGGTCAGGCCATGACTGGTTTAACCGCAGCTGTGAGCCTGTCAGCCACCAACATTCCACACTCCACCCTGCTTCCCCACCCCCACCCCTCAAATTAACTACAGAACTTGTTTGTCTGAAGCTGTGGGATCTATCAGCCACCAACACCCCACACTCCACCTCCACCCTGCTTTTTCCTCCTCAAAATTAACCAATCTGAAATAAGGGTAAGCTACTTAAATCATTAAAAAAACCAACCAAACAAACAAAAAAACAACCAGCCCTCCAGGGAGACAATGACCTTTGATTTTCACAGCCTTTTCAGGCTCCCAGGTTCTTACCAGAGGTAAACAAAGCAAATAAAGACTAGGAAGAAGTAAAAACAAGTATTTCTTGAAGCAAAGCAAGGAGCAGAAAGTTCCCTATCAGGCAGGGGAGATCTCCAGGCTGGCAGTGTCTGTGGACTCCGAATTAATCTTTTATAGGGCCCCCGAAGCCCTTCCATCCTTTGATCCCCCTCCCGCCACACACACACATATTCTGTCTCTTGCCTAGATAAACTGTTCATCTTCCCACTGCTGCAGCCTTTTATGTGTTAATCTCAGGAACCTTCTCACGCAGTTTATTAGTCTCCATCATCAAAGCTTTCTGAGTGTGGTGGTTTGCATAGAAATACTCCCCATTGAATGTTTTCTAATGCTTGGTCATTAGGAGTGGTGCCACCAGGAGGTGGTGTGGCCTGGTGTCCTGGGGATGGGTTTTGAGGTTTTAAATGCTTCAGCCAGGCCCCGTGTCTCACTCGTCCTGGCCTTTCAATGCAGATGTAGAACTCTCAGCTCCTTTCCAGCACCACGTCTGCCTGAGCGCTGCCATGCTTCCTGCCATGATGACAATGGACTAAAAGTCTGTGAGATTTCATTTCTGTGCTGGGACCTTTTGGGACTTCGAATTACTCCCAGGACAAGCTGAAGGCCCTGGGACCCTTCTTGGAGGGAAGCATTAGTTAATTAAAAAACAAAAAACAAAAACCCAAGTTACACAAAGCTGCTAACTGCAGCCCATTCCCCCACCCGTAGTCAAACAAAAAATGTTGACTACCTAACTTCCCCTATCAGTTGAGTAATGATGAACCAATCAGACAGGATTCCAAATAATCCCTGCGGTTAGCAAAGGGTCAGCAGAGGTCTGGAGGACATGACCAGGAAGCTGTTGCTATCCCCCTTAGACAATAACAGCCTATCAGGAACTAACAGCTAAGCTTTACCTAACCTTTATCCAATTGTGATATAAGATAAGCAATCTTGTGATTTGAAACTGTAATCTTGTGACTGTTTTGTGATTTTTGTCTTTATAAATCCCTTACAAAAATAGATGGGGTCCTTCTTCCTCCATCTGCTGTGTCAGACTATGAGTCAGAGGACCTGTGCCAGCCTGTATATAATAAACAAAACTTGCTTTTGCATTCGGATGTGTAGCTCTGTGGTGGTCTTCTTAGGGTCCCAGCACTCGGGCCCAGCACTCGGGCCCAGCAGTCAGTAAATCAGTCCCAGTTAAATGCTTTCCTTTAAAAGAGTTGCCATGGTCATATCTTTCCACAGCAATAGAAACCCTGAGACATCTAGTGTTGCTGTCCGACATGTATCTCAAGGAAGCAGAAGGGCAATTGTACTGGCTGGTTTTATGTGTCAACTTGACGCAAGCTAGAGTCATCAGATAATGGCGAATCAATCCCACACCAGTTATGTTTTAAGGGGTTATTTTTGGGGAGGGGGGTAAAACTTACATACACCATAAACCGTCAGGAAGGGAGCCTAGTCGCTGGAGCAGGAACCGGGAGTAGGAGCCGGAACCAAGAGGCCCGAGCCGAGACTTGTGG